TTTCCACTATGGTACAGAGTGAAAATTTTCTCCAAACTATGTGTGTTGGGCACAGACACTTGGAAGAAAAATGCTAACTCTACCTTTTGTCTAATGATTGCTTAAAGGTCCTCCAAATACACTGAAAAGTCACTGTAATACTGTTCACTGTAGAGCAGAAATTTGTTCAAGGCAGGCTAATCCTGGACTTTATCCCAGGGTGTGAAGTTACAGAGGTCCCAAAAGGAACAACCTTCTCTCTAGCCACGGCAGCTTCCCAGTGCCTGTCCAGGGAGTGACTGGCTCTAACTGCTGGGTTTGCTCTGGATGGGCCTCAAAGTGGCTTCACATTCAATGAGTGCAGCACCATGCACAGGACTGTGTGCTTGGGTGATTTTAAGGAGAGGACACACAGAGGCGTCAGTCAAGAGAACGCTTCATTTTTCTTAAGTCATGATACATTTACAAGATGTTCTAGTGTGTACAACTGCACAGAAGTCTTATACTGAGGTCTACATAAAAAGTGAGTTAATCAGGAGGTATATGTTTATATGTCTGTGTTACATATTGTGTCAAAATGTGGCACAAGCCAATTGTTTTTGAATTAAAATTTTAACAAGACAAAACAAATTTTTAAAAAAATGGACTGTTGGGGCCTTCCTGGTGGCACAAGGGGTTAAGACGCGATCTATGAAGCAATCAGCCACCGCAGCATGAGTTTGATCCCCAGCCAGGGAGCTACCCGCATGGCATAGCAGACCTCTCCTGGCTCGCCCGCTGCTCCCCTCAGCAGTGTATTTCAGTCAGTCTGCTTGTTCTGTTCTCCACTCTGCCTCTGGTGAATCCTCTCCCCGCCCCCCACACCTCTGGCCTGTACCCCAATTCCTGTATTCATAGATGAATAAATCTCTAAAAAATATGGACTGTTGAACACCTGTGGAACCTCTTGATAGCTTTTGTAGAACCCGAGTTGCACAGGACATAGTTTCCTAACTCCTGAGGTCTTGGAGTTCACAGTAGAGAAGACAGGAGAAGGGAATGGTGGTAGAGGATGAGAGCCAGAATAAACAATTTGGATTCTCCAGTGTTTACAGTCATTCGGTGAATTGAGACTGAATCTGATCACAAACTACCTGTCTGTGCCTCAGTTTCCCCATTTTCAAAATGCAATGGTTAATAAGAAGTTCCCCAAACACCAAATCCATTGGCAACAGTGTTGCCCTGCAATGCTGTATGGTTCAATGTAAGTAATGATAAAGATTTTTGCATGATAAACAAAAATCTTTTGATTTTTCCTTCTCTAACCTACCTTTCGTAGTACTTCATGATTATTTGGGGGTGGTGCCCCAGGCTAGTTCGAGATTCTCCCTGTCATTCCTGTTTGCACCAAAACTGCCTGCAGAGCAGTTGATCTCCATTTTGCTCTTATTTTGACAGACAAAAAATGAGCCACACCATACACTGCATTTGACTTGGGAAGTACTTAGAATGTTGCCTTTAGAATGACTGTAATTTTAGTCTTGTCATCATTCTGTTGAGTAAACATATATTCTTGAAACATTTTTGCCACAGAGATTATATAACTGTGTGAGTCATGATTCTTACATATCACTTATCTGCAATGGAAAGAACCTCCCTGTAACATGTTCTCTTTGGTTCTCCACAATGGAGCATTTCACGGAAGTTGATTTTCATAGTTTCAGAGAAACTCTTCTGATCAAAGTAACCCACATCAGATGCTAAGTACAACAGGCTCCACTTCTCTTTACATTCCCAGATCATTTTTGCAACACAAATGGCCTCACACCCAAATGAATGGACATTTTAGCCCACTTGCTCACACTGCCCATATATTCACCTGCAAATAGCTGCCACTTAGGCTTGAGTGAGCACACAACTGGCATAGTCTGCCATTGGGTGAAAGACCTGCGAAGAGCCCATGTAGTTTTAGAGTTCCGATGCCCCGAGTGTGGTATAGGTGAGTGTGGCAGGGGTCTCAGACTCTAGATGATGTCTCCTTGGCATTCTGGATGGAATGACCCATGAAGGGAGGCATGGCTGGAACAGGGCCAGTACAAGCTCCTCTGAGGCGTGTGACCCAGGCCAGGGTCCTACTTGCCTGGATCTAGGGCATACACTGTAACCACTCATAACTTGGTTCTATAACCTCTAAATAAGTAAGTATAAGCAGCCCTTACTCTATATGGGTACATGTACTGAGCAGCAAGAACCCCATTTTCTCCCAAGAAACTTCAGTGTCAGGGAGCAGGCATGGTTAGGCACTAAAGGGCATTTAACCCTCCATTATCAGATGAAAAGAAGCTAAGTGATTTGGCTCTAAGCCACACACCTACAGTGACAACTGTAGTCCAGATTTACAAAGGTTTTCCTAAATTAATTTCTACCCCAAGAGTCAACTCCTTCAAGGAGCTTGAAGCCTGATAAATGAAACCCCCAAATTATTATACAAGACAGAAAGCATGTGAAAAAACTGAGGAGGAAAGGGGGGTTAATTTCTGCTGGGTGTACCGGAAGGGGCCCTTTGAGTCAGATTTTGGAAGATAGGTATTAATTTAATACTTTTATATATTAGCATTTTACATAGCTGTAAGATGTTAGATTTGAATCAGTGAGCTAGTAATTCCTTTAACATTCCACAAATGAAGTTGATCCCCACTTCCGGTATGACATAATCCACTAAAAAATGTGTATTTCCAGGAAATGGAGTATATTCGTTTTCTCTTCAAGAAATACTAAAAATAAATATCCATTCGCTTTGAAAAGAATTCCAAGCCTTTATCTGTTACCATGTGTGTGTAAACCAATATATCATTATACCAAATGAATTTTTCCTTTAAATAAAAATATATATATATATATAAAAAACAGGAAAAAATTTTAATGCAGTACCCTGTAGGAATCATACCCTTTATTACTAACATTAAATTCCAACTATAATTCTTTCAATAAAGTCTGAATTTTTTCTAGTCTTTTCCATTTGCTAATATTTTTTACTCTTTGTCACCGTAAGAAACACTATGCAATACAAATTAGATATTGAAAAACCAGGCATTTATGATTGCCTTTCCCCTTTCCACTTTGAAATAATTTGTCCACATTTTCCTGTCTGAACATATCAACTTTCAGCAAGACTGGAATGTTAATTGATGTTATGCACAAGCTGGGCTATCATTCCTCAAATTCAGTAAGCCAAAAAAAAAAAAAATTAAAACAAAAACCAAATGGATTTCCTGTTTTTATTTATGTTTTTTAGTGTCCACTTGGGGAATCAAAATAAAGTGTCATAGTTTTAGGTTATCCTTCCTTCAAATAATGGACCCAAGGAGACCAATTCCTTCTATTTTTGCAACCCTGATACTGTTGGAATCACAAAGCTTAGTCAGGCTTCTCTGGGGAGCTCCAAAACAGCATGTGCAGCAACTTCCAAGGGAAGCCCTCAAACTATCCTCACTCTCCTCCCCTGCCCACCCCCCCAGGAAAGCACACAAACTCAACTCTTTCTGATGTGATTATATAAGAACACAAGATTTCTCCTGACCCAGCCCAAAGCTGCGGCATGTCCTTCGAACATTTGTATCCTGTCTCTCAAAAGAGATGGTGTATTGCTGAGCAAGGAGGAAACAAGTAGAATCCATCTTTCAACAATGGTAACATACACAAAGAAATCTTACCTAGAAATTCTGAGGCCTTTGGTAAAGTATACAAAGCTGGGAAAGCAAGTGATTTACATATGCAGATTGTAGAGTCCTTATTTCCAAGGTGGAGGTGAGGAAGGGAAGCAGAATACTTCTATAAATTGGATTTTTTCCTCAGGTAAGTTATCTCAGGGAATTTTCTATTCTATTCCCAAATTTCTATTTATCAGCTAAGGTATTATCCGAATTTGGGGTAACAATTCTTTGTTGTGCTCGGTATCAGTCTGCCTTCAGCCACCTCCACCCCCTCAAGTCATTAAGATAACCAAAGATGCTGCCATACATTTCTTAACACCCCTCCCCCATTTGTTCTCTCTGGCTGAGAACAACTTTGAGGCTGAAGATGGACAACATGTGAAAGATGACATACTGACCCAAGAGAATTTCTTTTCTTAAGGCTTATTCTAATGCCCTGAGGGTGATTTCTACAGGCTGCCTTGAACCAACAGCATTTTCCACATCAAACTTCTGCTCCAAATAAGTAACACAGCAACAGGATGTTCCTTGACTTTTTGCATTTATGATGAATCTGTATGCAAAATAGGTCTTTCAAAGAGAAGGGCTATTAGTTCCCACTTCCAAGTGCCTCTCCTTAGATCTTGGGTGCAAAATTTTATAAAAATCCATCTCAGAAACAATGATTATAAGCAGACATAAAAACTAACTGAAGTCAATGGTTATTATGGTTTTGTATTTGAATGAGACAAAGAACAGGATATCATAACTGTCATTCTTTGCCAAAACAGTGCTCTTGGGTTTACTCTGTCTATTTTGGCTTGGATGAAGATTCACCTGGCAGATGGTGCTACTTGTTCACGGGTCATCCAAGTTCACTGTAAATTTAATTTCTTCTTCACAGTCAGCAGCACATATTCAGAGGACTGCTTTCTCACACCTGTGCAGGCGCCCTGGCTGTTTCTCAAAGCAGGATGTTGCAGACAGGTCAATAATCCTGGTGTTCTCTCTTCCCTGACCTTGAGCTGTGTTTCCTCACACATTATATATACAGCTCTTAAAACAGTCATGGCAAAGAACATTTGGAAACTTGCAACTGATTCCTTTCTAGTGGCTAAGATGCAACAGGCTATTTCTGCAATGGGTCTTGTCCACAACAAGCCATACCGGATGTGCCCGTAGTTCTAAGCAGACTGTTCTCCTCCTACCCCGGTTATAAAAAAAATGCAAAGACTTTCTATCCACCAACTGATCACGAGCAGTAATAACACTAGGGAAATACAATGGGGGTAGTTTGTCAAGTGAAAGAGGAACATAAGTTTAAAGAAAGAACAGCTGTCTCTCACTTACCACTGAGGTAAGAGCCATCTGAAAACTGTAGATTCGGGCAAGGCCAAAGTCAGCCAGTTTTATTTGTCCACTGCTGGTCACCAGAATATTCTGTGGTTTTAGATCACGATGTACTACTCGGTGAGAATGAAGAAAGTCCAGACCTCGGAGAAGCTGAAACATCATATCCTAAATAAAACCAAAGGAAAAAAAAAACAATTAGCGGTCAAAATAGAAATTCAACATGCATGAATCTTCAGCATTTTGGAGAGGGAAGATAGAAAGCACCTAATAAATATTTGCTGAATGAATGACTTTTCTCCCTTCCTACCTCACCACTCTCTTATTCTTAAGAGCACTACAAAAAATTTCACTCTTGTCCTCAATTTTATTAGTGAAAGGACAATTTAGAAATAGTTTCTGATAGCACAGCAAATATTTTAGAATGATATGCATACACCAAACTGGTGTCTGTGGTTAATGCTGAGGAGAGTTGGAGGTGGTGCGAGGGGTAGGGTAAGGGAAAAATGTCAGGCTTTTCTGCCCTCCTGCCATCAGGATAGATGATGGATCCTTGCGGTCCTGAATGCATGTCTGATGGCGGGCACCTGGAATAGGGCGTGGGCAGATGTAGATGGGATTCACCTGGGCTAAGACTGGGTTTTAAGGACGGCATCATGAGGATGCCAGTAGAAGCCGAAAGAGAAGCTGAGATCACCGGAGAGCTCAGTTAGAGTGAAGACTTGCTGGGGGCTGGGAGGCCTGCCAGCCTCCCGGCCCCCCAGTACCCCTGCCTGCTGTGTACCTGGTAAACCCCAATAAAAGCCTGCAAAAAGCCACTGAGGACTCTGACTCCTCCTTTACCTGGTCTGCTGGATCATAGATAACCTGCACTGTGCCCGTTCCTGACCTTACAGAGGGACATATTTTTTTATTTCACATACGACTGTATGGTTTAATGTTATTTCAGCAATTAAAATGCAGTGACTGCTAATAACATTAATGATAACTATTATTATCTTTGTAGCACTTAATACTGAGCAAGCAGTCACCATGTGTCAAGCACCGTTCTAAGTATTTTCTATTATAAAACGATCCACATCAAAACATTGAGTAATATTATCAATCTTACAACTCAAGAAACTGATATACAATAGGTGTGCATAATTAGTTCAAATTAATAACTCTAACAAGAGACAGATTTTTAACTCAAGTCAGTCTGAAAACCCAGATTCAAACCCCCAACACACCCTTCGTAAGCCATTTAACTTCACTAAGCCTCAGGTTCCTGGTCTGTAAAATGGGAAAGTAACAAAATCTATTTCATAGGATCACTGTGAAGCACTTAGCACAATAGTAAGCATTCAATAAATGGTAGCCATAATTGCTATTATTATTATTACTATTTCCCGGCATGAAGCAAGGAGGGCATTCAGAAAACAAGCCAAGGTTACATCTTTTTCTAATTTTAGAACTGGTAAAATTGAAATACAAGATTTAAAACTCAGAAACAATATCTGAAAGTAGACATTTAAGACAATATCCATGATATGATCTTTTGAAATTTGGGGTTAATAAGACTGACCTAACTCTCAAAATACTTTGAGGATGGTGTGTGCAAAGGAGGGTGGGATTATCTGGTTCGTGTGAGGGTTAGAAAAGTGATTAGACAGCCAGAGCTGGCAACACTATGGGGACACTTTTTCAGCTGCTGGACCACTAGGCCCTCCCTTAGAGAACAGCATGGTTAGAGATGGGTTTCCATCTGTCCTTCACTGGTTCTTTCTTTAATTCTGTCTTCACATTCTCACATTGTTTAAAGCCAACACCTTAGTTGTTGTACCTATAAGATGAAGAAATAGTACTTCTTTTAATGAAGTAATATATGCAAAGGAGGAGTGCAGTTTCTGCACATGGCAAGCATTCAACAAATGACACTCATTAAAGTGTTCCAAGTCTGGGGAAGACAGAGTCACAATTATAAGAAAATGTGGTCAGTACTACCAGGTCCGTGAACAAAGCACCAAGAGGGGATGGGAGGCGCAATAACAGAGGTGTACAGGAATCCTTTCTGAGATCCACCTAAGTGGATCTCAGGAGTTACCATCTAAGTTTCCAAAGGTGAAAACTCTGGAGCATGTTGTTCTATGAAGGAATGGTCCTTAAAAACATAAGAAAACCATGGCAGGCCAACAACTTTCAATGAATAAACAGGAGTGTGAAAATGAAACACAAAATGTTAACCGAAGTAGTATTCTGCTGTGGCAAATAAGTCTTTATTGGAAACATATGCACACAACTTGTAAGCACTGGATTTTAAACAGCATGACTAACCTAAAGTAATGTCATGCTGGCTTGTCATCTTTAGCTTCTTAAACACTAAGCACCAACCATTTAAAACAGCACAAAGACTAAAACTGCTCGCTTCATGTTTCAGTGTTCCAAATAATTTAAGCAGCCAATTACAATTAAAATTATTTTTAATTTAACTAATTAATAATAAGGCCTATCTAAATTTATAAAAAACATGAACTACATGGTAAAAAAAATGTGGCTTTTATTCATGCAATTATTTAAAAAGAACATGTTGTATTTTTCTTAATTACCAAATTGGTATATGCTTACTGCACAAACTTACAAAATTAAAACAAAATCCAGAGCAAGAACACAAATCACTCAAAATCCCACCACTCAGAGAACAAAGAAAACCTCATTGTTAGATAATTTCTGTGAGACTTTCTCATCTGTCTTTTAAAAATTACACATATTGTATATATAGGTATAAATAAAATCTATGATAGTTAAATATGTATATTTATGAATAAAAATTATTATTCTGTACACATTTTGCCAAAAAAATTTTTTTAAAGATTTATTTATTTATACAAGCACTGGGTACAGTCAGAAGTGAGGGAGGGTGAGAGAATTCACCAGAGCCAGAGGGGAGAGCAGAGCAGGCAGACTGACGAAGTACACTGCTGAGGGGAGCAGCGGGCGGCAGGAGAGGTCTGCGCGCCATGTGGGACCCTTGCCCAGTGGCCGGGGATCAAACCGCGCTGCAGAGGCTGCGGGCAGCTTCGCAACCCAGTGCTCACCCAGCGGCTCAACCGCTGCGCCACCAGGGAGGCCCCACTTTGTCAAATTTTTAAGAACACTTAACAATTCAGTATGAGTTTGTGAGCTCCAGATTAATGATTTATTTTTATATTTTTCTGGAGAACCTTAGTGACACCAACATTTCTATTATATGAACTATAAAATGGGTAACTATGAAGGAACCACATGAACTATCTCGAACTATTTCCCTCATTTATTTTTTTTTTATTACTCCTCTTCACCCATCTTATTAACCAACTAAAATGAATGACTTGCTGACTGACATACGCTGCACTATTCCTCTCCCAAAGTAATGATTTTTTAAAAAATCTTACCAAAAATCTCATAACTTTCAGTAATTCAATTGTGAGGTAGGTTGATGAGCATTATGGACCTGTGATAAATATAATTTGGGCTCCCCAACTTTGAACACCTAACCTTAAAGGGGAAATACACACAGCTAAGTCAGGAACTCTGGTCATACATAAAAAATACGAGTAATTCCCAAGAATGATATGAATAAATAAATTATAACAGTAACAAGGTAAGGAAAACAGTTTTCCTTCAGAATCACAAGTGCTTTGATCATAGACATTTCAAAGGATTCTCTACTTAAGCTCATTATCTGTTCTATCTCAATTTATAATATCATGAGACATACTTTTAAATTAGCTCGAGATTTTAATCTAAATTAATCTGGTTTATAACACACTCAAGTATTTCACAGTATTCCAGTGATGCAATGTAATGAAACTATAGATAGTGCCAATTAAGTCTCTATAAGTTAAACACAGATTTAAAAGTTTCCTTTTTTATGCTATAGTGCACGATTCTAGGATAATTAGTTTGAATGTCTAGTCACACTTATAATGAACAGTTACAGGCACACTGCATCTTTCTGAAACACGTAATACGGAAGCAAGTTTCAACAGGATGCCATCATGAAGTAAAGTGACTTTAGGTAGGGCTTTGTCCTTGGCAGCTCCCCTGAAAAGACTTTGAACGTCAGTCTGACTACTAGAAATCTTTAAAGCCTTGCAATTGTTTCATTTGGGGTGTTCTAGAGCTCTAATCCTCTTATTTAGAAGCAAAACAAGCAAACAGAAAACTTTCCTCAACTTTTCTGATGGGAAAATGCTTTACTGGTTATTCATATTTCCCCCCCTCACATATAAAGACTATATGATTAGTTCTGAAAGATACTAAAAACAACTGATTTAAAGCATACAATAAAACACAAAAATGACAGCTTTGAACGGACGATTCTAGAGTTTTGGATAGCTCTACCTAACCTAAGCGATATACTCACATTCTCAAAATTTCAGCAACAAAAACACATACATTTAGTCTATTTAAAAATTAAAAACAAGACGAATATGACTTGTCAACAAAAATGATCTTTTTTCTCCTTATAATGTATAAACCAGTCTTCAAATTTGTTATCCAAGTTTTGACAAGATATATCTTCAAATGTTTGTTGATTCCTAAGAAGGTATCCAGTCCAATGTGTTTCTTATGAAAGGTGTTGGGGGAGTCTGCAGTCTCAAACAGATGACATATAACAAAGATGTCTTACACTAAATGCCACCATGTGGACTAAGGGGTAATGATTATAGGAACAGTAGTTAAAGATCATGCTTGCCTGCACAATAAGGAATAATGATAAAGTCATGAAGAAGGCAGGAAACTGCTGATGATAATGATGGCCAGCTCCCCCCCTCTCCATTACTAATATACTTAAACATCTTTTTAATTGAGATAAAACATACCTAACAAAATCTGCTATCATAACCATCTTTCAGTGTACAGTTCAGTATTAAGTACATTCAGACTGTTCTGTAACCAATCTCCAGAACTTTTTCATCTTGCAAAACTGAAACTCTACACCCATTAAGCAATTCCTCATAGCCCCCTCTCCTGAGACAAGTAAGTGGCAACCACCACTTACTTTCTGTTTCTATGAATCTGAAAACTGTAGAAACCTCCTCCCGTAGGTGTATGTGGGCTCATACTGCAATTTGCTCCTCTGTGACTGGTTTATTTCGCTTAGTATAGTGTCGTAGGGGCTCATCCCTGTAGATTTTATCTGAATT